CTTTGATTCGACTTATGTGCAAGAATACCCCAGTCCAACGGTCTGTGAAGATGATGATGATCCGTGCACCTGTCCTTGCCACAAGTTATTGAAAGCGCTTGACTTGGATCATGGCAGAGTATTTTTTGAGCTGGCTCGCCAGCGACGTCAAGAATGAATAATGATGATGGACAATGGAATGGTCCAACGTTGCTGGCGCTAACGTGCGCTCATGATGACTTGCGACTCACTGATGCAACAATAAAAAATAATCATTATTATAGAATTGAGTGACACACACTTAATGCATGTTGTATGTTCTTGCATGTGTTTGTCCTTGTTTGCATTTGTGTCATGTATGTTTGCATTGTTTTTGCACTCTTTTTGTATTTTTTGTATTTTGTTGCATTTTTTTGCATTTTGTTGCAGTTTTTTTGGCATTTTGTTGCATTCTGTTTTTTTTTGCACTTTTTTTTTGCATTTTTTGCCACTTGTTTGCATGTTTTTGCACTTTTTTGCATGTTTTTGCACTTTTTTTGCATCTTTTTGCATTTTTTTGCATCTTTTTGCATTTTTTTGCATCTTTTTGCACATTAGATGCAAAAATAAGATAATTTGAGATAATTTGAGATAATTTGAGATAAATTGAGGTAAGGTCTAAACCCCATGGATCTGAGACTCTTAATATAATCACTGATTCATTGACATGCGCAGCTCCTTCTGGCAGACCAACCCAAGGTCCCAGTTCTTCTGGTAGTCTGCCTTCGTGCTCCGCTCGTAGGAGTCGACTTTGGGAGGTTTGATTACGCTCAGCGTAAACACTTTCCCCAATTCCGATCTCTGAGTTTCGCAATTCTTGGAGTTAGCCTACATGGGTGTCGATCAGGGTGAGACCAACGCGGTATTCGGCAGATGCGACGGATGGTACAGACCTTGGTGTATCCGAGCCACAACTGGTCACAGTCAGTGACTTTGGATTCATGAGTTCATCCGCACTGGCAAATAGGTATTCCGCAAGGATGGGCGACTCTCTTAAAAAAGCGTTCCATGTGACATATGTGGAAAACCTGCCAAGCATCGTACGTTGCGGGCTAGTCCCCGGCGGAATCGGTGGCGGGAACAGATTGGCATTGCGCTTCGGGGCATTCGCTCCATGGGACAAAATGAACTTGGGGACGAAGACGACGCTGCGCAACCTGCGGGTTGGGGATCCGATCGCAATCATCTACATTCCAAGCGCGACTCTCGCACGGTATGGAGCTGGAGTTGCGTTCAACGGGACGTTTACGGTCTTCGACGTGATCCCGTTCCATGAAGTCAATTCCATTTGGATCGGCAAGAGCCCGTTGAGGTGCAACAGCTAGTCTTTTTTTTTCCCGTTTTTTGTTGCGCAGATAAACCCTGTGCGTGTCGAAGCGCTCTCGCTGTGGCGCCGTGCGTTTTTGTTTCTCGCGAAAGCTTTGGTAGTTTGCGCGCTTGCTTTCGCAACCCCGCGGTCGCGGGTTCGCTTCGCTCCTGCTCCGCGGCAGCTCCGCAACTTTTAAGTGTGAAAGTAGTAGGCGAAGTACACTTTCCCAGCTCCGGCTGGAAAATCATAACTTTTAAGTACGAAAGTTGTACGCAAAGTAAACTTTCGCAGCTCCGGCGCAACTTTTGAGCGGCTGGAAAATCGAAACGTTTAAGCGCGAAAGTTGTACGCGAAACCCGGCTGGAAAATTGCAATTTTCAGAACCAAAATAGCACGCGACGTAAGCTTTCGCAGCTCCGGCTGGAAAATCGCAACTTCAGTACGAAAGTAGTGCGCGAAGAATAAGCTTTCGCTGCTCCGGCTGGAATATCGTCAGCTTTTGAGTACCGAAGTAGCACGCGAAGTAAACTTCGCAGCTCTGGCTGGAAAATCGCAACTTTTAAGCACGAAAGTGTTTCGCAAATAAAGGAAACTTGTGCAGAGCAACTTGTGAGAAAGCCGACAACGGGATGAGCATCAAAAAGTAATTATTTTGGGGATCAACAAAAAATTATTTAGGGGATCAAAAACAAATTATTGAGACCTAGTCTCCGGTCCCCTGCTCTCCTGGTCTCCTGGTCTCCTGGTCCTTGGTCTCCTGGTCTGCTGATTTCCTTCTCCTGCTTTTTGCTGGTGTGCCGGTTTCCTGCTCTCCTGGTCTCCTGGTCTCCTGGTCCTTGGTCTCCTGTGTCTTGTCTCCTGGTCCTTGGTCTCCTGGTCTCCTGGTCTCTTGGTCTCTTGGTCTCCTGGTCTGCTGGTCTCCTGGCCTGCTCTCCTACCCGAAACCGACCCTAAACCAAACTACACCCACCCTAAACCAACCCAAAACCAACCTACAAACCAACCTTGAAACCGACCCTGCGCAACTTTTAAACCAACCCTACACCCGCCCTAAACCAACCCTAAACCAGTCCTAAACCCACCCTAAACCTACCCTAAACCTACCCTCAGCCAACCTAAAACAATCCGAAACCCAACCTAAACCTACCCTAAACCAACCAAAATCCACCCACCACAAACAAACCCAAAACCCTCCCTAAACCCACCCTAAACCCACCCTAAACAGACCCTAAACTAAACCTAAACCCACCCTAAACCAATCCTAAACCAACCCCAAACCCACCCGAAACCCCAAACCCACCCGAAACCCAACCAAAATTAACCCTAAACCAACCTTGAAACCAACCCGACACAACCTTAAGCCAACCCTAAACCCAGCCTAAACCAACCCTAAACCAACCCTAAACCTGCCCTAACCCTACCCTACACTTACCCCAAACCACCGTAAACTTAGCCTAAACCATCCCTTAACCCAACCCTAAACCAACCCTAAGCCACGTAAACCGGCACTAAACCCAGCCTAAGCCCACCCGAAAGCTACACTAAACAGACCCAAAACCAACCTAAGCCAACCCTAAACCCGCCCTAAGCCTGCCCGAAACCAACCCTAAATTATCCCTAAAAACCCTAAACAACTTTCAAGCCCCAAACCAAACCTAAACCCACCCTAAACCAAGCCTTAGCCCAGCCTGAACCATCCCTAAACCAACCCTAAAGCAACCCTAACCAAACCTCATCCAACCCTAAACCCACCCTAAACTACTGACCTTCAACCGACCCTAAACCCTAAACCAACCCTAAACCCACCCTAAACCCGCAAACCAACCCTAAACCCACCCTAAACCTACCCGAAGAACCACCCTAAACCCAACCTAAACCAACCCTAAACCAACCCTAAACCAAGCTAAGCCAACCCCAAACCCACCTTGAAACCAACCCTACGCAACCTTAAGCCAACCCTAAACCCAGCCTAAACCAACCCTAAACCAACCCTAAACCGTCCCTAAACCAAGCCTGAACCCACCCCAAACCCACCCGAAACCCAACCTACATTAACCCTACAGGCATTTAACCGATGCTAGATTCGTTGATAGAACTGCGCTTGTATCTGAAAAGTTGTGATGTTCGAACTGGAGCTGCCAAAGTGACCTTCGCGTACTGCGCTTGTATTGGAAAGTGTCTATTTTACAGCTGGAGCCGTAAAATGCGCGCGCTGTTGCCCGAAAATGATGTAAATTACAGCGCTTTGGCACCCCCAGGCGAGATAATTTGTTTTTGATCCTGTAAATAATTTGTTTTTGATCCGGGTGTCGATAATTTCTTTTTGATCCCGTAAATAATTATTTTTTGATCCTGCGCCCGCCGACAACTTGCTCAGAGCAACTTGCGCAGAGAACTTGCTTGAAGAACTTGCTCAGAGGAACTTGCGCCAACAATTTGCTCAGAGCAACTTGCACAGAGAACTTGCTTTCAAAACTTGCTCAGAGGAACTCGCGCCAACAACTTGCTCCGACGCGCAACTGCGCGGAGAACTTGCTAGGATTACTAGGAGAACTTGCCGCCGCTGCTAATGCTTTCGGGCCACCCATCTTCTAGTTTTGAAGTCGACATCCGACACTTCGGAAAACTCCCACGCTCCGGACCAGCGCCCATCCAGGCTCCTAGAGAGGCGGTCAGCGGGCTAGATGTCAATAGATCCGTCTCAGGCGGCGGTCACCGGGTCAGTCAAGGTATGAGTGCCATTAATTTTTCCAGCGCCAAGACCGGAGTCACCCGCTGGTAGGATACCAGGTGGACGAACACGTCCGTCATCGTGCTATCCATCCCCTTGAAGGTGAAGCGCGCCAGGTCGCCATCGAGCACGTGCTCGGTCGGGTGGCGCAGGCAGCCCGAGCGGCGGACGCCGATGTCGCGCACCGTGTCGTCGTAGGTCCCCGCAAGCACGCTGAGGATGGAAGTGCTGTGACGTTGTGCTCCGCCACGCCCGCTGGCACGGTGGACTGCTGGGTGCACTGCGGTCTAGCTGAACACCAGGGAGCCCCGACAGCAACAGCCATCTGCGCATTTAGATCACATGTGCATTCACCGCATTGGAGGCTCTAGAAAAGGCTCAACAGGTGCGGATGTCGCTGGTACGTCTTGGCACACGATCAAACAAATCTTATGAAGGCAAAGCTTGATGGCCGGGTTTGCGCTTTCAGGCATCGTTGTCCTTTTCCGGGTTCTGAGCCTGGACTGGTAAGGCCCGAAGTTTTCTTTTTGTTCTCTTCAAAGAAAGAAAGCTGTAGGGCCGGGCCACGCAGACGGTTGTAAGTCGTCAAGTTTTGTTCGTGATAGGCGCAAGAAGTTACGAATAATTTGTTCAATGTTTTTGGTATTTGTTATTTCTGGAACTCACACACGTTAAACAGTTGCTTCGTGGGAGCAAGTCCATAAACATGTCTGAACAAGTGGATGTTTCTTTGCGAAGAGAACTGTGTTGAAGCTGTTTTTTCAATTAAATTGCAGGTTGAACGTGGTAGACTAAACTCCGCGCAGTTGCAAGCAAAGATCTGGTCCAAACCACTGCAAATTGTAGTGTGTCCAACATGTGCAATTCCATGGCGCATCTTTCAGTTCTTTCCATGTGCGTTTGGCACGACATACGTATGCAATGTTATTTGAAAACAAAATGTTTTGCTCCTTGTGAGTCAACTTGGGAAGCAACTCCTTTATTGCGGGCATTGCGCGATGGCCACCAACCTTGAAGGGCGGTGAACTTGGCTGAGCTGCAATTGGAGGGATGTTGATTGTGCACTCAGATTGTGTCAGTCCGATTTCTGGGTACTTGATGTTGGCGTTGCACGGCGTTCGCAGCTTGATCTTTTGGCAAGACATCGCCATCATTTTATCAGTGTTGTTCTTGTGGTGAGGCTGCAACAACTGAATGATGCTTTGACTACGTGGGGCCTCAGAAACCCACTTGCTCAGTTGTGATCAAGTGCCGCTGCCAAAACACTGGTCGTGCTGTAAGGTTGGCTCCGAAGTTGGCGCCAAACTGCTCAACGGTGCTGCCTGAAGATGCACTGGAGGCCTGTACGGTACGTGCCAAGTGATTGCACAACGCAACACGCCCTTACAGGTTCTAGATAGACTCTATGAGGGAGAGGGCCTCAAAGCAAAATTGAAGAACTACCAGGAGGCTCCGCCTGCACCTTTGCGCACAACTCCCAATGTCACCCGTATGAAACAGGCCTTTTGTCCTCTTTGTGGTGGCGAAATGGCTGCACAAACTTGGGATGTCGACTGGGAGGTGCTGGCTTCAAAGTTGGCTTGAACCTGGGATGATCAGTTGTCTTCCGCCAGGCAGAAATCACCAAGCGCCGCATCAAACCAAGGAAATGTCGGGAACCCAGTTGCGTGGTTTGTGAACAAATCAGAGCTGCAAGCCGAGGCAGGTTGATATGCAAGGTCTGTGCCGAGATTCGCGACTTGCTCGACCCTGAGAAAGATTGAACATCACTTATTTCTTTAGTACCCGAACGAGGCGTGGATTGATCAACAAGTTTTGTTTCGAGAAGGACAGGCTTGCAGAAGTTGTGTGGCACGCACGCTTTACTTTGAGCGGGACGTGCGAGACACGCTGGTGGCTGTCAGCAATTGCTTACCTGCGTATTTCTGGCTCTGCTCGAAACATGCGTTGCGGCGCAAGGATAAAGAGCACAGCTCTACGCTGCAGCACTTCTTGCAAGTGAATGGCTGCAGCCTTTGCGTTGGCAGTCTGAAGCGTTGTTCAACGATAGGTGAATGCTCAGGTCACGATGTAGCTGATTCTCACTGCTTTCAGGATGCGGTGCTGGAGGCCTAGCTTTTCCAGCTGGTGCTGATGCTGAGTTTTCGGATTGTTGCCTGTTGTTTTTTCCTCGTATTGAGAGTCTTCGTGCCATTGTTTGTCTCATTGTTTTGTGAGCATGCAGTAGCTTGTGGTTGGCGGGACCCGTGGTTGATTGGTGGAAGTGTCACTTTGACACCATCGTGGAAGCTTTATCTGGCTGACAGGGACACAGATGAGAAATCTAGAGTATGATCACAAAGTGTTGGCATTGTTTGCCCTACGTGCAGTGATCAGTGTTCACATTCAGACTGCCCCCAGTCCAGATGTCCCTGTACACTACTTGAGCTGTCCAATATCCAATTGTCAGATACCTGCGGCCAGCTTACATACTGCTCGTGAGAAAACAATCAGCATTTTCAAATTCTTTGAGCGTTGAGTTGAGTTCTCAAAGGATTTTCGTTAGCTGGACATTAGAGAATCTAGCTTGGCACCAGTCTGCACACGGCAGACGCCATTGAGAAGCTGAGCTGCGCTGAGGTCAGTTGCGTATGCCAGCTCCGTCCTGCGCAAGGCAACTAATGGAGGTAATGCAGTGCAACCTCAAGCCACACAATTTTCCAAGTGACAGGAACTAAAGCTGACTCCCAGCAGAGGTCCACCACTGCAGGAGAGTTTGCGCCATTTAGCCCGTGGCCTTCACACTCACCCGTGTATTTGCAGTCCAGGACCTTCTTGGGACTGAGGCAAGAAACTCGGTGAATCTGCAAGTTACCGCGTGCATCTCCATGGAAGGGTCAGCTGGCGCCACTCGCAAGGATGGACTGCAGCTGCAGAGCAAGAAGAGGAGGGTGCCTGGTGTGGTGATACTTGCAGATGATAGCGGTGCAAGGACGGTTGAACAGCCTTTGAGTCAGAGTCCAAAGGGAAAGCGCTCTCGCGGAAAAAAATGATAGGCTTATTCTCATCCATGTGATTAGACTTGCTTATTAGAATGAATTGACACTTTCTGAGCAATGCATGCATGATGCTTGACATGGAATATGGCTTGCCGATGTGCGCAGTCAGTCTCCAAGAACTACACGACATACGCAACTCATTGCGCACTTGTAGGTGTAGGCGACAGCTGCGACAGCCATTTGACCAGCCATTGGAAGCTGTTGCCACTCAATTGATCGTGCAATGGCGCGCCAAGAAGCCCTTGAGTTTTTCATATTCGGCTTTGCCAGTATGTTTGATTTGCTCACTGGTGAGGTGGCAGTGGGCCTTGTTAGCCAGGCAATCCTGTCACTATGTCTCCTTCTCCGGACATCCATGGAACTGGCTTCAGGATAAACGGCAGTTGGACCCCCAGCATCTCAATGAACTGCACGATGCTCCAGGCTTCAAGGAACCACTCCGAGACTCAGGTCCGCACACGTACAGCCGCTTTGACACGCCGAACGTGGAAGAGGTGATGAGCACTGGGGAAACGTTCATAAAACACTTGCACTGCAGGTTATGAAGAAGCTGAAGTCGACCGACTGTGGCGGCGGTTCAGTACCTTGATGGGATAGAAAGCGACCTTTTATACATTTGTCGCAATGCATGTTGATGGCACTGCTGCCGAGGTGACAATTCCCCACAAGGAGACTGAGCTGTACCGAGTGTATCGCAGAACACATTCAAGCAACACACGTTTGTTCACCTCTGTTTCCTCAAAATTATGATTGCGATCAAGCTAGCTTCTCATGCCAAGTGCATTGGGACCGAGAGGAGTCAATCAAGCAATACATGGACGACCTTACGGAGTCGGCTCGCATCATCGGAGCGGTGAATACGGTCCGCCCTGCATGACCTATTAGTGTCTCGTCTACGGCGCATGTGCCTCGTGGATGCGGTGTGGTCACAAGCTTTCTTGCCTCGTTGTAGATGTTCTCCGAATACTCATGTTGAAGCTTAGCGAAGGTGTCAAAGATCAACAGGCTGCATACGTTGTTACATGTGTGGTCGCCAAGAGGTGACAAAGAGGGAGGGCCGATTCATCGGAGATAACACTGTCTGTACCTCGGACTTTGAGAAGACTCTGGTGCGCAATGCACAATCTGTGAGTCAGCTCTTGGACTTTTAGGATTGGATTGGTATCAAGCAGCAGCTGGAGATGCGACTGGGATGCTGCACACACAGTCACGCGGACTTGTGTGTGTGAGAGAGAGGGTGCACAAGCTTTTTGAGCCTTCGCTGCGAGTGGGCGTGAGGTCCTCGCACGCTCTGCTGCTTAGCCCTTGGTCTTGTAGTTTCCATCAATCATGGTCATTGCCAGCAGGCAATATGACGCTTCAACTCGAGGTCTGCTGTGTGGAGCTGGTGGCACTGCTCGCGCGGCTGCGTATGCATTCAAGTCTGCAGCTTAGCCAGGCATTCTTGCTTTGACTCCTTGTAGCCGAACTCAAGGCAAATGGGTGCCACCAGAGTCTTGATCTACAACAGAACTGCTCGGACCCCAGCTGTCGCTTGAACGGCCCATGCGACGTTCATTTGGGCGAGCATTGCGCGAATTGCCATAACTGCGAGCTTGGATGCGTGGGCTGTTTGGCTAACTGAGTTTGCCTGAAAACTCTGGAACGAGATTGTCTTTGTCCGGCTTGCACAGCTTTTGCTTTGACTCTACCCCCGTGCTCTTTTTTACTCAAACTACGCCCATGATTCGTCTAATAAGGTACTAGTCTGTAAGACATATTTGCAATAAGACGATTCTGCGACCCAACCAGTTTTTCGATTCTCTTTGGACGAATACTGTTTGCTCACATAGGCTTCGCGTGCGAAAGAACTCGCTGACGAGTTTGGCTTCGAGGCCAGCTGCAGCGTGTGCCATTCAGCCACTGAAAGTGCGAAATGATTGCTCGGATGAATTTTGATAAGGATGCTTGAATGACAGACAATCGTAGCCTTTGATTCTGTACATGGATGTGAGTGCAAAAAGCCAAGTTTTGATGGCTCAAGTGATGTTTTCCACTCGCTGGATTCTCGGGTGAGGCATGTACAAACCTGGCGAGTCTTAAATCCTTGGACCGCTTGCATGTCGTCGTCAACACATTGCCTGAGCCACAGTGCCTGATTGCCTGATGACTTATCAAAGCTCTTGGAGTGGCAGTCTCGATCAAGTGTGAATGTTCTGAGGCCAGGCAACACAGAGTTTGTGCTTCCGGAAGAAGCATGCGTACTCAAGAGGCGACGTGTGTTTCATGACACGGTTTAGGGCCCTAAACCGTGTTGGGCGAAGTTCCCATTGCAGGTGTCGACCAGTCGTTTTGGAAGCTGCGCTTTCCTGAGGGAGCATAGGCAGCAATCTCATGGCACTGCCACTGCCTTATCCAGGCGTATATTCCGCGGCGGACGTCCTTCCTCAAACAAGCTCTGGCCGCAGGCTGCCAGGCAGATGCGGTCAATGCCTTGCTGCACGTTTTGCAAACTTGGCCGATGCAGGTTGTGGAGGGTATAGAAATGCTCTTCGAGCAAGGCTGCGCTCAATGCGAGAGCTGGCCTGAGTGCAAGCCATCGAGATGACTCGGAGAACAGGCATTCCAGGGCGAAAGGTGGAAGAGGAGGAGGGGGGAGAGGAGAGAGGGGTGAGAGCAAGGATCTGGACGGGGAAGCCAGCTCCGCGCTCACAGATTGCTGAAGCCTTGCTCCAGGCGCGTTCAAAGATAATTTTCAGAGCAGTCCTTTTACTCTGTTTGCAGTTTACACAAACCGCCCAGTTGCCAGGCTTTGTTTAAAGCCGGCCGGCAGCTCAGGACATTTGCTAGCAGAAGTGCCACGTTTGCGTCACCAGGTTCGGCACATCCAGCGCATGCAAAGATGCAGCCCTTGAATGACCTGCCCAAGTCCTTGATGAGAGAGGCATTGTAGCAGCATGCTCAATGGTTCTTGTTTGTGTTTCTTTGGTAGGCACGGAGCTCATCGCAGGTGGGGACATTTATTGCTTGTTGTGTGCTAGTCTGGTGACACTTGTCAGATGAGAGTAGCTTTTGGGCTGGGCATTTCAATTGCGGCGGCAGCGGTGCTGGTGATGTTCGTGCAGAAGGCACTGTGCGGCATAGGTTGCATGCAACTCAACAAACAGCCTTACTATTGCCAGATGCGACGACGAAGCTGAGCACAGTAGCCAGCAGGCAATCATTGCTAGCGCTCCAAATGGCATGTACGGCCTTGAAGTGATTTGGCACATTGGACGCTTGTTTGCTTGGTTGCCTTGCCTGGATGTGGCCTTTGTATGTACAAGCCCCCCCACACCACACACACACACACACACACACACACACACACACACACACACACACACACACACACACACACACACACACACACACACACACACACACACACACACACACACACACACACACACACACACACACACACAC